CTTTGTGATGGTTGGATGGGAGAGACAATGAAATTAGCCTGTGATGTAAAGAACGTGTGCTTCAAAAACAAAACTGCAATACAAGTCTGCAGGCCCTAAGCCTCCCTGTGGAAAAGGCTCAACCACATTCAACGTTTTAAAAGCAGGCCCTCATTTTAAAAGGAAAAGACAAGCAGGTTGAGTGTACACTGGTGGAGATCTGAGGTAATGGAGACAGTCATGAAGGACGACCCCACAGGAGCCCACTCACCACGCTCGTGTTTGCGGAGAGTAAATGATCGGGCACACAGTCAGCCAGTCAATGACCTGAGGGGCTCCTTGGTTTGCAAGTGCACGTGAACAACAGCAGTCTTTCAACATCTTAGATTGTAACCGAGAAAATGGATCTGGTGATCTGGAGTACGAATCTGGAGAACTATGCCAAGACTGCCCTTTCCCCATTCCACCCTGGGCTCCTCAAATCCATCCCTTCCATTCCCCAAAGAAAGGCCCTTCCCTGCAGTTGGTATAGTTACCGTTCCTTTGGAGACCAACCTCCTAGCTGTGGGCCTTCCCCACACAGTATTTCCTGTGAGAGGGACCAGCACTGTGGCAAAACCAGCAAGGACTATGAGACCAAGACTAGCTCACTGACCGGGCAGGTTAGTAGTCGTACTTAGTTCTTCAAAGCCAGGGGAGAAGTTCTAGAACTCTCCTAGTTCCCACTCTGCCCACCCGAGCCTTGACCAACCCACGGGCTGGAACTACTTCCTCCCATGACAGGAAACAAGTGAATGGGTCAGGCCACACAAATATTCCCTCATTACACACTTTTGTTTATTCTTTTACTTTTGCCTAACTCATCTATATTTCCCTCATTTTTCTTCTTCTGAAAAGTCATGTTATATTTTCCTCAATTCGACAACCCAGACCTGCTAAATTTCTATTTGTGAAGCACAGCAAAATTCCATTTTCCTTTCCACAGTTTGTGTTCACTTCTCAGAAATGTTAGGTAAAAATTCTCCCTGTTGTGAAACTAGCTCTATAGTAGGCAGAAAATTCTTTTCAAGTTCCTTAAAAGTTTTGGGGCCTTTTATTTAAAAGTTTATCCCAGTGCCAGCGATAGTTACAGCCTTGCATTTCTTTGGCACTCTGTACATTTCCCAGATACATGACTTCAGTTGATCCTCATAGTCTCCCTGTGAAGTGTGTATAATTTTTTATGAACAGAAGATGTACATGACACACATGTGAAAAGTACTGTGAGCTTAACACTCTGCAGCACGCACGCCACCTAGCCTTATGCTCAGGCTAACATGGAGCAAGTTTAGGAATATCTACTTAGAAGTCTCTGCCAGTTGCAAAGGATGAGAAAAATCCCAAATTCCACTTCATTCAGTGGTAATAACTTATTTCATGTTATTAAAAATTCAAAAGAAATATTCTGGTTCCACTTCACCACCCAAATATGCAGCAAAGTAGAAGGGGAAGGATTCTGCCCCATTTCCTCTCAGCTCATTAGGTATGTGAGTTTAAAAGTGACCACCCTTTTCCCCCTCTTTTTTCCTAATGGTTTATATGAACAAATTCTAGGTGAATCAGACACCACAATGTTACTCATTTAAAACATAGCTTGGCAGTTTACCATGTTGTTTTTAAAAAAGGAGGCACCTTCTGTTCGATTTATTTATGCTTCTTAATATTCATAAAGATGAACTAGTTGAGCAGTAGTTATGACAGTTTTAAAATATGTATTTATTGAACTTCAGAAAACTATACATTTTGAGTTAAGTCTGAACCTCTTTAACTTAGACACACTAACAGCTGGCCATATTAAGTTAGATACATTAACCAATAAGAATGTTGAGCTACTTAAACATATTCTAACCTTTGGTTGTGTCCATATAAAGATATATCCTCTAACTAGAGCCCAAAATTTAAATACAAAGAATTATTTTACACATACAGTAATTCCTCACTTGATGTCGTCCATAAGTTCTTGGATACTGTGACTTTAAGTGAAACGACGTATAAGGAAACCAGTTTTACCCTCCTAGGCTGATCGATAGAAACAAGAGTTAAGTTCCCACGGCATATATCTGGTCACACAAAAAACATCACCAAACTTCTAAGTATAGACCCCAAACACCTTCTAATATTAAACATTGGATTAAATGTGGGCTCTACACCCATTTAAGAAAGATGAGTAAACACGAGTGAGATAATGATTTTCCAGCTGCTATTCCAGTTCAGGGTCGCCATGGCAGAGTCCATCCCAGCAGTTCAGGGCGCCAGGCGGGACCCACCCTGGACAGGACGCCCTCCCATCACAGGGCCACCCACCCCCTGTCAGACGGGGACAATGGAGACATACCAGTTCCCCTCAGGTGCACACCTTTGGAATGTGGGGGGAAACTGGAGGACCCAGAGAAAATCCATGCAGACATGGGGACAATGGCCAAACTCCACACACACAGTGGCCCCGGCCCGGAACAGATTTTCATTTTTTTCTCATCAGTGTCACAATGAAATGATGTTGAATGACATGACTATTTGGCAAACTGCTGTAATATTAATCACCTAATCCCTTTTGATGATCACACAGACACCACTATGCAAATATGTTATTATATAACTCAAAATAAGATTTAAAAATTTTATGCAATAGAACATCCCTTATTCAAATATTACTAAAATTCCTATCTACAACTGAATCTAAGCATTAATCTAAGTATATAAAATGTATAAAGACAATTTGAAAACTTTTAGTAATTAAAGAGGGCTTCATTTATCTATCAATTTTAGCTTTTCTTTCTCTGACAGGGTGAAATAGTTAATCTGTTTCCTAGTGCACAAAGGTCTCATAATCTTTCCGAAATACTTCTGAGTTTAATGTACTAACTTAACTACTAAGCACCATATTTTCAGTAGATAATTTCAAGCAAGAACATTTTTTTTAAATGAAGCATCATTGAAAACAGTTAAAGCTTTCATTTCTGATTGGTAAAAAAATAAAAATAAAAAATGAATGTCTTTAACAAAGAATAAGTCAAATGGTCAACAAACATATATTAAAGATTTAAGGCACTGCTCTGAGTTTTGAGAGAATTCCAAGAGGAATAAGACATCTTTTGGGGCTTGGGCAACATTACTGTATAACATGGGAGAATGATCCCATGTACCACAAAGAAATTGGAAAAAGAGAGCTAATGTTTATAAAGTTTCACTTAGGCTGACCTCATTCCCCTCAGAGCATATTTTATAAGCATTATTCAAACCTAATTTTATCATATTATGTTCTATCACTCATAATTGTTATTTTGTAACATTGTTACTAGTTCAAATCCTAAATAGAACTGAAATTGTAGATTTGCTATTGTCAGCACAGTAATTAAAAATATCTACAACAGGCTACATTATTCCATGAGAATTCAACTCTACACTTTTATCCAAATCCAATAGCTTAAATTAGCTATTTTTAATTTATTTACATGTTAAGTTAGCACAGATATCTAGGCTTTAAAGAGATGGGCCATAAATATGCATGCCTACCCCCAAATTAGCAAAATAATTCAAAATCTCAGAATATCTCACTTTCTTTTGGGTTAAATATCCACAGTGGTAAACAGAATGTTAAAGATTTGAAGTTTTCCATCTTTGAGATGAGAAATCAGATATGTATGAAAACAGCTACTTTTCAGGAAGTCCATGACTCACCAGTAACTTTCAATATCAGAATAATATACCTTAAACAAAAGATTAAAACACAAAATGAAGGAGAGTTGAAATTGCAGGAAGAATCTAGAAAACCAAATAGCTGCTTCTATCTGTTTATGCTGGAATTATGTGTTGCTTACTTTATGTCAAGCTAAATATTTTTCATAGCAGTTCTCCCAAACACTCTGCAAGTGGAATTAAAAGCAATAAAGAAAATATTCGGTGTAATGGCAATTCTTGGACGATCTCAATATCTTATCGTTGTACCCATCAATTCTATTCCTGTTTGTCAAATTAGCTCTCATGAACTATCATTAGTACCATTCCTCTAGACTAGGTGTCGGCAAATTTTTGAGACGGAAGAGAAGAGCCAATCCTGTCCCTCACAACAATTTAAAAATTATTCGAGAGCCATAAAACAAATGGAATCACCATTATGTGAATAATATCCTTTAAAAATTTTACAAATGAAACTATGATAGTTTTATTTTCATTTTCAATTTTACTTCAGAGCCACATGTACATACCCAAAGAGCCACATGTGGCTAACGAGCAGCAGTTTGCCGATCCCTGGTCTACACTAAACAAATAATGCAGAACAAGCAAACGAGCTCAGTCATGAACAGAATGCAAGGGAACACCGCACAATTACCAAGAGGGCAGGGATGTGTTCATTCAGCAGTTACAGTGAACATCCACCATGTGCCAGGCCCAACGGATACAGAAGTGCCCTCAATCAGCTCATAGCTTAGAGAACAGACACGCACACCTAATGACGTAACCAGGTGTACAGAGTGCTGCTCATACTGAGGAGGGAGAGAGGAGTCTGAACGAGGCAGTCAGAAGGCAGCCGCCTAAGAGCTCAGCCTTGGAGGAGAAAGGACTCCTCCTTAGGAAACAGAAAATGGTGGAAGCGCATTTCAGACGGATGGAAGAGTATGAGCAAAGCCTATGAAAGACGGTGATCGTGATGAGAAATGGGAAGACTGGTGGTGGAGCCAAAGTTGAGAGGGGGGATCCTCAACTGGTAAATGAGACAAGTTCCAAATAATGGCCCAAAGGGTGACCCTATTTCTGTCCCTGTGCTCCTAAAACTGTGAACTAGAGAGAAAACGTATGAAAGGGTTAGAAAACGGTAAGGAAGAAGAATAGATACTGCCTACCTCTTCCCAAGGCAGGGAGTGTCTTGGCCCACCACATACTGCACATTCCACCTGCAAACTCCCATCTGTGTCCAATAAAGAATCTTGAGTCCAGGTGTCAAAAAGTATTTGAGAATTATTCAAGAAACGAATTATCCCTACCTTGCTTTCGAATGATTGTGGTTACAGGGATGCCAGAACCACTTGACTGTAGGCTGAGGGACTCCGTAGATGGTACAAGTCAGGATCTGTCTGCTGCCCAGTGGGTAGAGAGTCGGGTCTGGAAATGATGACACAGCCTTTTCATAAATCTGGGGTTTCACTGGAAAAGAGATGAACAGAAGTGAAGTCAAGAGCTGCTCTCATGACCTACCTGCTCCTGGGCCACAGCAGGAAGGAGCACACTGTCATTGGTTTTGATGTCAGGGAAACAAACACATAAACAAAAAACAAATGAACCCTCATTTTTGTCATTTAATGCCAATTTTTTAAAAAAGTATAAGTGTTTTCAGAACATTAAAAAATTGATTCCATGGTAGATACGGTATGGTTACGAGTATAAAAAGCCACATTACTTATGGAAGATAACAAGTAGACATGAAATAGTTAAGACGGAGGCGTGAGTGGTTTTTAAAATAATTATTTAAAATTTTGTTTTCTTTAATGTTGCTGTATTGATTTTTGATTTACAAATTTTCGTGAATTTTACCCCTAGCAGAACCAGAAGAAAGTATGAACAGTAAACTTACCATTTACGATTAGAGTGGTCGTGAGGTTCTTAACCACATTTGACTGCTTTATGCCCAGCAAGATTGTGTAATCCCCGGCGTCTTCTGCAGCTACATCCTTAATAATTAACGAATAGCCACGAACCAAGTAGCGAGCAGATTGCTCCGTCGCAGGTAACCCATCTTTTAGCCTGTGGTTAAGCGCATGGTCAGTACGTCACTTCACACTGCCTGTCAGGTATGACTGTAACACTGCCATTTATGTTCATGGGCTCATGGTTATGTGTTTCAAGCCTCTGATCCTCAACATTCATTTGAAAAACATAGACACTAACTTTTCAGTAAAGCCAGGTGTGATTTTTAGGCTGGGAAATGCCTCAGATTTATTGGCAAAGAGGAAGACAAAGAAGTGATGGTTTAATGTACCCCCAGGGGTGCTGGTTGCCATTGTGACTTAAGTATTAACCCAGAAGCACCAGCTGATTCCATCCAAGATGTTTTCCAGAGTTTTCCATGAGGCTCCATTAGCAATACAATGGCCATTTTAAGTCAGATCACCTAGATCACTTCTCCAGATAAAAATAAAAATAGACTTTGCTATTGTGGTCTCATGTGGAGTTCTTATTAGCTATATAAATGGTCACACCAGTTGTCCCTTTCAAAAACTATGGTGAAATCAAGATTATCAAATTTTTCCCCTGAGGAAGAAGAGCTAAGGCACAAAACTCACAAACAAAAGGTATAAACTTAAAAAAAGTTCAACTTTAAATACAGAATTGATGCCTCGCTGTCGTGAAGCCACATACAGAACCATGAATCAGGAAGTTGGGGGGCCTGCCCACGCTCACCTGACTGCCCGTGGGAGCTTCAGTTTCTCCGGAGTTCCTAGAATTTCTCAAAGATCTCTTTAACTCTAAAATTCTATAATTTCATTAAATTGCACCGTTCTTAAAATGGGCATTTTTAACCTAACAGGAGTTTATTGTATTCTGTATGAAGGTATATAATATTGGGAGTGGTCATATTTATGCATGTCCTACAAACATATTCCCACATTACTAGTGGGTCTGTTCCAAAGCAGTAAAATAACTGTGCTCTATTCTGTGATTACAAATATCATCTTAGTGTTACTTTAAATTATTTCCTATGAACAAGTCAGTATTTTTGAAAATGGATTGATTTTTTTGTTTGTTTTGTTTTAGGTCCTGGCTACTTAGTGACTGAAGAAATGAGTGCTGTGTAATAGATGGGGGTGCTCTCAGGCATGGAAAGAGGGGTTACATTCCTCTTAGGGAATAATGTACAGTCATAGGAAATTTACTGTTAAGCTTTGTAGATATTATGACCCTCCTCCCACCCCCCCAAAAAAATCTCTTCTATAACAACAGAAAGGGGCATAGCTCAAATTAAATTTTCTCTTTAATTACCTATTAACTATTTGAGGAAACTGAAAACACCACACTCCTATGATACTGAAAACAAAATAAGTTCTGGTTTAGATTCTACAGTGGCACCGCTTCTATATTGTATGGGTTGTTTTCCTAAGCAGTTTTCTGCTGTACTCTTTGTTTAAAATATAATGGCTTGACCCGAAGATATCGGCATTTAAAAGTGATTTTAAAAATGACTGCAGATTATAAATAGATTACATTGTTTTACTCAGGTGTTGTACTAGCATTAAAAAAAAAAACTGCCTAAGGAGTTTCTGAATATGCAGACTTCGGGCCAAAAAAAACTTAATTAGTTCAAGTAGGTCCATTTGTCCACCCCTGCAACTGAATAAGTCTTGTCCATGTTTGTTTAATTTTAAAACAAGAGTGGAACTTTCAACTCAGCTGTATATAAAAGAATTAATTTCAGATAATCAAAGAATTATTATCCTCATACAAGGGCCCGCTTCTTCAGGGTTAATAGAGCATGATATTTATTCAGGATGCTTCCTAGTCATTCCCCACCATGTTCCATTCAGAAGATGTTGACATCGTAGGAGGGTGTAGAGATGCAGAAATTTGGTCACCGTGAGTGAATGACTGAACTGCAGTAAGCACTCAGAAAACCCGAGTGCCCACTCTGTCCGGGCACACTGCTGCCCTTCCCTTCAGCCCTTCTTGACTTCTCCACTCCCAGCCCAGACTCAGCACAGCTCTTAGCTCTGCACTGCTCTCTGGGGAGCATATCTTGATTTTTTTTCAGGAATTAATTCAAGCCACTGAGCTCCTGAATCTTCCTACTTAAAAAGCTTATCATAAACTGATAGGAAAGTAATTGTGGTCCTACCATGCCACTTCCGGCCGGGGAAATGCGTTCACTTTCATAGATAGCCGGTAAGACCTTTTGCCAGCTACAGTTTCATGCACCTGCTGTTTTCGATGCCTCACAGTGATGAATGCTTGATCTTTGAAAGGAGAAGTGACCAATATATTAGAAAAGACAATATTTACATACACATGCAAAAAACACAAAAACTAACTCACTGCCTCATTAAAGGAGGGTGCAACCAATGAATAAATGAACAGAGCTGAATTATGGCCAAGCCTATCACTGAGCCAAACAGTGATGAGTAAAACAGAAGCAGTGGCAGGGCAACAGGAAGTGAAAACCTTAAGAGTCTATCACAATAACAAAAAAGTAGAAAGATACTTTTACAAATCTACTGGACCAATATGAGTACAATGAGAGAATGTTTCTTCCGGCACCCTAAAACAACTAATTTGATATAAAAAATTCAACTGGAGAAAGTCCAAAGAATATCAGAGGCCACTGAAAGAATTGTTCCATAGTTTTTCCTCCTCACACTGTTTTTCTTTTCAACAGTGGAAGTAAATGAGGTTTTTAAATACTCTAAAGAGATTTTAATATTTTCTTTACGAATTTGCCTATTGGAATTAAGCAACAATATTAGGATTTCATGAGGGTAAACCAGGGATAAAGTAGCATCAGTTCTAAGTCATTTATCACACCATATTTTTTATTTCTCAAATCATAGTAATACCTGACAAACTTTCCCCAGAAAATAAAGGTAAAAATTATCATATTTTTCTGTTTTCTTTATATGGAGCACTAAAAAAAGAATTTCATAGAGATTATGCTGTGATCTAACCGAATTATTAACCACAATAAACTTGAAAGCATCTCTGTCCACGTCAAAAGTATTAGATTTCAAGAGCACTTAATGTGATCTACCTTTTGACGGGGAGAAGGGGACAGCATTGTCTTCACTCATGACAGTGTCCCTCTTGGCCCAGAGAAAATGTCCTTGTTTAGAGAACCTCCCGGACCCACACAGCTTAGAAGCAGAGCATGGGTCCTTACCATACACGTGCACTGAGGTGTTCACCGATTTGGAGGCTGGGCCGCTCTTCACATGGCAGGTGTAAGGCCCTCTGTCTGTCCTCTGCACCTTGTCAATGGTGAGAACGCTGTAGAACACGTTATGGGAACTGCGCTGGTCAATGCGTTGCCTTATCGAGGCTCTGGCATTTGTCTAGAAGGAAAACATATGAGAAATGTAGAAGTAGTAATTGCTCATGCTTCAACGGATAGTGTTTCCCAGAGGATGACTGAGATCAACGTTTTATGCCGAGAAGCAAACCCACCTGGACCAAGGCCTGGAAGCCACATCTCTGCCTGGGTGTGTCTCAGATGTGGCCACAGAGGCCTTCATCGAGCCCTCCTTTCCTCCAGGTGGGCTTTCAGACACTAGCTCGGTAGAGTCTCACCCCAGCCCCGTGACATGGGCTGAGTTACTGTCCCTTTACTGAGGTGACAGAGACGCTGGCCAAAGTCAGCCAGAAATTATGTCGTGGGAGGAGAAATCTGGTCTTCCCTCTAGCACACACTTGTCCCTGAACAGCAACGTGTCCTCTAGGCACAGATGTCACACACAAACGCGGGCAATAATCACCTTTGTGTCTGGCTTAATGACAGTGTTTCTCTTAGTAAATCGCCAAGCACATGTTCTGCCTCCTTACTTGAATTGAAGGAAAAGATAATGGGTGAGTCGTGGCCACAGCTATAATGCTAAGGGGTAACATTCCCAGTTTCGTTATTTCACCGTTTGAGCAACGCTTACCCATTTCTGCTAAATCCCACTGAATGGATCTGAGGACACGCAAGCCCTCCACATGCTTCTCCAGCGCTTGGGGCTGTTGCCCCGTTTGCCTCAGGGAGACCAGCCACAGGCCTCCAGGCTCTGAACTGGCCACAGTGACGCTCCCGGTTTTGAGAAAATGAGCTCACATTGACTTTTCCTTCCTTTTCTTTCTTTCTTTTTTTTTTAGCATTACATTTTATAACACATAATATGTTATTGCCTCCTCTCACCCCTTCCCCACGAAGGGGCATGGAAAAAAGACTCGGAGGCTGTCCAAAACCTGTCCAAACTCATCTCTGAGTCTTGAACTTAGCTCTCCTCTCTGCCATGTTTAATAACGTCTAATACCTGTCCTGTTATTGCCCTGGTGGAACATGTTTAGGTCAATTTCTTCACTCTCAGCAGTAACCAGAGAGAAAATGTCAATCACCACCATCGAACATCAGAGACTCAATCCACTAAAATAACAGACTGAGGGCCTTTTAGCAACTCCAATTGTATAGCTATTGCCTCTCCCTTCTCCCTTTGAGAACGCTCTCCTTCCCAAGCTTTAGTAACATTAATATTGCTTCTGCCTTGGAAAATGAGTGATCCTGTGTTTTAGAAGTGCTTTGTCCAGTATGGTAGCCACCAGCCACATGTGGCTATTTAAATTAAAAGTAAAAAAAATAGAGAGTTAAGTCCCTCAGTCACACCAGCCACATCCTCAGTACTCATTAGCCCTGTGTGGTTACTGTTGTAGATGGCAGAGATACAGAATATTTCCATCATGGAAAGTCCTATTGGACAGGCCACTCCAGGCCACTGGCTTTCAATAGATTTATTATCAGACTCGTACTTAAAGTAGCAACATTAACAGGATAAAAGTTTCTTCTCTCGGTATTTATTGAGAATATTGATTGAGAACATCTGATTTCTATCAAAACCCAGAAAATGTTGTCACAAGTCGTAACATTTCTATTTAAATGAAACAAATATCACTTTCTAGAAAATATTTATGACTAATGAGCTCTTAAGGGTCCCTCCAGGACACTTAAAACACCTTTCTGTTGCTAAGTTAGTTTATTTCCATGGCAAGAAATGTTGGTGAAAAATAATAGCTTGGGGCTGATGCATTGATCTTTTATACATAATTTAATCATAAGTGAACTTGGTGATTGGGCAATCCGAATGACATAACCAATGAATGTACTTGGCACATAAATCATACTGACTGACACAAGAAATGGGGGCTGGAACTACTGTCAAAAGTTTCTGAACAGTTTATCATTAAGTCCCCATCTACACATTTTAAAAATGATTGTTTGCAAGGATGTTTACTTTGAATAAGGGAACCCAACTCAGTTTTCATTCTTCTCATTTTTCTGAAGGACAGAATTGCCCCTTTGTCACTTAATGAATGGAACAGTGGATGACTGGGGTGTATTATCTTTTCCAAACATACTCCAATCAGGTGCCTGACTGTCTGCCAGTATCTTCAATGAATGCGCTGACAACAACTTTTTGTTGCTGTTGTTACAAAAGATAGTCCCTGCCTGGCATTGAGTGATAAATTTCTCTCTCATCTCTAAATCCTAGAGAACAGTTTCCAAGGATGAAACAATCCCTTTTTCCACCCAGAATCATGCAATAGAAATACCAGCCTATACACTTCAAAACAAAACCTCCGGACATCAAAAGACCATATCTATGCATATCAGACTCATGAAATGCCAGGCAAAGAAATCACCCAAACCAAACCCAAAGCTGCTTTATTGACTCAAACTGCCAAAGGACTCAGCATATTCTGATTTTTCCCACTACAAAAACTCAGTGGCATTTCATTTACTTAAAATAAATATTATCCTACAGAATAAATAGAAATATGGGTCACTCACTTCACCAGGGTAACTCCAGGTCATCTGAACTCTCGTATTCAAGGCGGTGGTGGCGGTACAATTGAGGATAAGAGTGTGACCCCTCAGTAACTTGACCCGGCTCGGTGTGCCCATTTGGACGTCTGTGATTTTATAGGCTGAAAGCATAAGAAATAACATTATTTTTAAGTCAAGCTTTCATTAAGCAGATTAAGACCTTGGGCGTTTGGGCTCACGTTCATGCCTTCAGAATGTCACTTACTTTGTCGAAGTGTGAGATAGCTTGTCTTGTACAAATGTCCGTTGATGGTTGTTTCACAGGTCAGAAGCCCTATTTCTTTGTATGTTGCATTTGAGATTATAAAGCCCTTCCTACTGTCCCAGGTTATTCTTTTTCCATCAGGGATCAGAACATCCACTGGAAACTGAAAAGGAAGAAGCATGCTTTAACAAAATCATATCAACACTGTGGTGAAGTGTTTCCCTAATAGTTTGTGAAAACATAATTTTCATCTAACATAAAAATAGTACAGGTTAAAAAAATCTGGTGGGTTTTAAGTGGTTCTTTAGGATAATTATGATAATTTATTATCAGCCATAGCTACAATTCGCATCCACTTTGGACGGGCTTAGTTGTCATGTCAGACTTCTAGTAGGAGCACACATCCTTTGTGTGAGCCTTTGTGAAAAATTGGCCTGGTACCCGATAGAGAAACCAATTAGTATTTTCCCCACTGGGGAGAGCTGTTAACAAGTAGTAACTTGTCCTCCCATTTTGCATGATTTACTAAAAAGGTGATGCCTCAAGAGGACTAGAAATCAATCCCCGTCCTCCAAGAGTCAGATTGTTCACTTGGCACTCACTGGGTTATCATTCTGAGAAGGCCAAGGGCCTCGGCAGCCCCTGGGAGGGAACTCCCCTCCCCGGAAGCTGAGGCCGCTGACAGTGAAGACAGCTGCCAACAGATGCGGAGGCCGAAGGCAGGAGGCCGGGGGCAAACAGAAGGAAAGAATCCAGGATGATTCTCCCCATATACCTTCTTCTAGACACCAAGGACTTAATTTTTTAAAACTACAATATAAACTGTCCACTTGGGGATTAGATGTTCCAAAGGGCCACACAGAGGGGCCCCAGGCAGATCCCCTGGTGCCGGGTTGTCCGCCAGCCCAGTTTCGGAAGTAGTACCCTCTGACTGCCACTGTGATTTATCCCCAAGTGGAAAAAGGGGGGGGGGAATCAGATTACCTCCCCACAAGAGATTACAAAGCAAAGCCCTAACTGTCATGAAGAAGTTTCCAATATTTTCTATTTTCTTTTAGAAAGCTCACCTGACATCACTCTAGCCATTTATCATGTATTTATGCTGCTTGTTGAAGCAGCTAATCTGGCTGGGATTTGTGGTCCTGTGGCTGGGTTTCTGTTCCCAGAGTCTCTCCCAGCGAAGATGTCTGGATCTGTGAACATGTTACCTGAATGCTACTTGGCTCTGAAATGAGTTACATGCTGTTTATGAAGAATTGAAAGCAACTTAAAGGTGCATTTCATGGTTTAGTAAATAGGTCAGGATCCCATCTGTAAACTCAGGAATGCTTTGCATTCAGTGGGAAAAAGAACTTTGTCTTCTGATTTGGTACAAACTAGTAAGGGACAAATTCAGCAAAATTTAAGTCAGGGATTGAAATCTGTGAGGCTTAAAAAATGTGTCGAAAACCACTTGCTGAATCTGAAAGGTTTGCTGAGGGATTTCCTCAAGCACGACTTAAAAATATAGCAACATTGCCTCTAAAGTGTATGTCTTGCTCTAATCTAGCCATCACGGCCACTTGCAGTATTTCATTGACAGAGTAACTTTATTTCTAGCTGGCAAGAGTTAAAATAGCAAAAGTCTATGAAGTGGTTGCGTGTGTCATAAGGAAGCAGACAGATGGGCCGCCTTGAGAGAGAGTGCTGTCCGGGAGGCCTGTCCCCAGCTGACGGTGGCTCTGCCAAAGCAGGCGTGGACAGGGGCAGGGATGGCAAATCCACAGAAAAGGGACAATTAGACAAATGGGAGGGGAAAACCTTAAATTAATTTTATACCAGCATACATATGCAATAAGTTAAAGTATTTTCAATATATGCATGTCAAACCCAGATCCCTGTTAGAACTTTATGCTCCAGTTATCTTTCCCCCTCCCTTACACCCCCCCCCCCACCACCAATAGATCTTAGGTAGAAAAACAGAATTAAAAAAACTCCTCCCTATCCAAATTTTTACATGTGGGAATTTTGGGGTGTTGCTTGCAACAAACCTGCATGAGGACAGAAAGGCAAGGGGTTTGCATGAAACAGAAGTTGCATATCCCCATTGTTGTTCCCTATCCATCATATAGCAGTGACTTGCTTATAAACCAAGTATTGGGTAGTAAACTGCCAGATTAAATAATGATAACAGCTGGCCCTTGACGAGGGCTTCCCTGGCACTGGGCATTGTGCCAAGTGCTTTTCCCAGGTGACCTCAATTAGCCTTGCTAACAGCCATGGGAGGTGGATGCCACTGCAGTCCCTCCCGGCTCGAATGAGGGTGCTGAGGGAGAGAGGGCTTTGGTAACTAACTAGTTTGTCCAGCGGGTAAGTGCAGGGTGGTAAGAAGCCAGGCAGGGCGGCCCCAGCCTCTGCTCTTCACCACTCGGGTCTTCCTCCTACGCCAACTAAACCAATCACGAAAGGGTGGTGAGAGCCCCGAAGGAGAAGTCAGGATATGGGGTTCTGCGCCCACATGGCCAGGGAAGTTCCTCACTCCCTGGGAACCTCGGATTTTTCTTCCACCAATGGAGTTAGACTCTTCTGCTGTTTCCAGCTGACTTTATATTTCCTGGCGATGAAACACAGATAAAATAGAAGACCAAACCTGTCTCTGATGGACTGCGTGGAGGGCTTAAATCAGATTAACAATGTAGGAGAGTGAATGCAGAGGAGGAAGCCAGGGAGACGTCTCCATCAATTTCAGGATTCAGGGTGGGTCGGTGGTGGTGAAAATCACACTAAGCTTCTCTCGCTGACCACCCCGCACACATCCTGAGCAGCTCCTAGGCCTGGGCAGTGCCAGTGCTGCCTTGGGGCAGCCTGAACTTACTCTTTTTTTTTTTTTTAGCTGAGCCATCCCGCCACCTGTTGGCAGCTCACGGCTGCTCAGCTCTGGCTGACTCGAACCGCTGGTTGCTCAGAGCTCAAACTCTTGAGCGAGCTCTTAACCAACTGAGCCACTCAGCCGGCCCTTGAACTTACTCTTAAAGCTCTAAACTCTCAGGATTCACTACAGTTTTTCATTTTAGCCATTTTTATCCAATTCTTAGTATACTCCTTAAACTCTGACAAATTAGCTGGAATGTCACATTTCCGGTTTTTTGGTCTTTATTAGATTCTACCCAAAACTTATTCCTTCTCCACATGCACAATTTACAACATAATAGGAAGAAAAAAATCTCATTGATTGCGTTTTCCCCTCTTTTTTCCCCCCCAAGAGGCTAAGTTTGATGCGCAGCAGGAGATAAGCGTCTTGTCGGCAGGAACTTCCCAGCTCACACCCAAGGTGGTCACTCCTGTGCATGAAGCTGGAGACCTGACTTCCGCCTTCAGCAAAATTCTGGATTCACCTCTACCAAGTTATTAATCTGTGTGAGCAGACTTGCCTTTTCTCACATTTGCAAGTCCTTGGATTTGTGGCAAATACAAACATTTTCATGATTCCTTTCATTATTCACATCGATTCGTGCTTAACACATTATCATTTTATTCCATTTAAATACATGCGCTTACGCTTTATAGTAAAAGGATGCTATAAAAAGTCCATTGAGAAGCCCAAATGTCTGTAAGAAAATTATTCCACAGATAGAAAGTCTCTAAGAATTCATCATGCTCATTTGCAGTAAAAATATTCTGAGAGTAGCGTTGCTCAATCTCACCTTTTTTAAAGTAACAGTGATGTTAGGTGACGTCACCCGGCAGGGAATGACGATCTCCCTTCCTTCAGTCATGTATATAATTTCAGGTATGTCACTGTGCATCTCTAAGAAGGGTCTATCTGTATCTGAATGGGAAGAAAATGAAAAAATACACATGTATATAAACGATTTTTATTACGAACATCTAGACCCTGTAGCTGGTGGGCGCCATGGGCATTGCTGCAGTGCATCGTTCTTCCCTTGATGTCAACCATTAATCACATCCTTGTCCCTGAAATTGGCTCTCCGTTTCTGCCCAGAGGAAGATTGCATCTCTAATAAAACTGAATTGCTTATTCAGGTCTTGGTCTATGATCAGATTTTTCGGAGGGCTTAATACGCAATTGTGACTTGGGGAGGGAGCTGTTTAGACCACTGTGGGGGAAAGCCATAAAAATGCAAGTGAGAGAAAAAGGAGAATATTCTGCATAAACTTCTTGCCACAGCTGTGCTAAGTGCCTCCGGAAGCTCCCTCTAGAGCCTTTGTAAGAAGTCAAAGGAAGGTGCAATGGTCAGTAGTCTTTGGAGCACAGAAACCGAAGATGGAAGTGAGGCAAAGGTGTCACCTTGGAGAGGATTAGCATTTGAATGACCAAAGCTTGATTTAAAGGTTTTCTAGACCTTTCCCAGCAGACTAATAATGAATGTGAAGGTCTGAGCTACTTGGGGGGAGGGCGAGAGGCTGGAGAAGCAGTGGGAATGCTGCATTTTTGCCATTCCCATATTGGGCCTGTTTCTTTAGGAAGCACCACTTCTCTACTAATAGAAAAGTATGAGCAAGTGCATGCAGAGAGGTCTAAAAAAGGCTTTAAATTGTCCCCACACAACACCCTTAAAACTATGGCATTTGGCCAGTCTCAGAGGCCAGAAGGCCTCAAACCACCTGTTCAGCATCCCTGTAATTCCTCTGGGGACCAGAATGAGCATCAGATCCTTTTAGAAGCATCCTCAGTGTGCTATGCCCTTGCCCTTGCCCTTGGCAGTCTGCTGACAGTGATCTCTTCAGGACTCACTGTGTCCCAATCTTCACCCCTTGGTTCCAGCCTGATCTGCCCACATGGAAAGAAGTCCTGTGTTAACTCTCTCCGTCGGAACCCTAAAGAACTAACTGAGCCCCACCTGCTTGCTGGAGTTGAGGAAGCTCAGAGTGGAGAACAAATTTGAGAAACGAGCAGTGAGGAGGCAGTAGTTGCCTAGACTCGGGTTGAATTATGCAGCCCCCATGATATGTTTAAATCCTAAGCCCCAGTGCTTCAGAAGGGGACCTCGTTTGGGTCAAATGAGGTCATTGCCAATGTAATTACTTCAGGTAAGAAGGGTGCATCCCTGGTCCAATATGGTGTCCTTATAAAAAGATGGCCATTTCAAGACAGACACACAGAGGACAATGCCATGTGATGACAGAGGCAGAGACTGGAGTGAGGAAGCTACAAATCAAGGGATGCCAGGGACTGCCAACACCCATCAGAAGGCTGGAAGGAGCAAAGAAGGGCTCCCCTACCAGTTTCAGAGGGAGCATGATCCCACTGACACCTAGATTTCAGACCTATAGTTTGCAAAATCTGAGACAATAAATTACTATAGTTTTAAGCCACCCTCCCCACCCCCCAAACAAAAGTGACATTGCTGTAGCCTGCTGAAGATGGGATAGTTTGACACCAGAGAGGTCCCTAGAGAGACCCTGTCACCACAGCCTGCTTCATATACCCCCAGATGCCCAGGGGAGCCTTGCTAGGCCAGCCCCTTCCTCACACCCTCTCTGCCTCAGCCCATCATCTGAGGGCTCTCCCAACACCCCCAGCATTCTCCTATCACAATATTAAATACACTGTCGCTGAACTGGCATTTTACTTCTCTGGCTACATGTTGGATGATGAATTCCTAGAGGGGAGGAAATAGAGGGAAAATGTCTAATATGTATTGAATGAATGAGTGAGCAGTAAATGAATGAAGGGCTGTCCAATCCCATCATTTCATAGTTGAGAACACAGGTGTAAACAGATGAAGCTGAATAGGAGCAGAGCCAGGACAGAGGCCAGTTTCTCCTGACCTCCCATCCAAGGCTGTCACGCTTAGGGCTGGACTCCAGCCCCTCCTTTTGAAGGAGGCTCCCCCACAGGAAGAGCTGTAGGTGGCAGTTGTTTTTCAGAGACATGTTCGGGGTAAAGTATGTGCCATGTCATACTGTCTAGGCGGTTGATCAGCGGGAGGGCATTCCAAGGTGTAGAGTCAGAGGGAGGCAACAGATCGCAGACTAAGGGCACACCCTTTACAGCCCTGTCTGAATCCTGGCTCTGCCCCTTCAGAGGCCTGAGGCCTGAGGCCTCCAGAGAAACATTTCACCCTCTGTGCCTCATTCGTAAAATCTACTTCAAGGGGTTATAATGAGGCTTACATGAATTGACATACGTAAAGCCCTTAGAATGGTGCCTGGAAATACTACTATATATGTGTTAATTCTTTTCTTATTATGAAAGATTTGAACTTATGGTGAGAAGGGGTTGGGATATATGAAAATCAAAAATTATACTCATGACCTGAACTATAAAAATGTAAGTATACAGTCATACAGTGGCACCAAAAAAGGGTGCAATGTATACACTAAAATTTTAATAATTATCTTTGAGTAGTGCCTTTATGGGTTGTTATTATTTTCTCATTTACCTTCTATATTTTTCAGATTGTCTAGAATGGTTGTGTTATAACATTTTTAACTATTGAATTTAAGTCTCAAATTATAAAGCACCATCCATTTTTATTTGAGGAAAACCATACATTTTGCATTTGATTTACTTTAGTTTTGTCCAATATAATGGAATGGGACATTAACTATCACAATTAGTAGTTACTGAGCTTATGAATGTAGTAGCATATGCAGAGAGGAAAAGTTAATTATACAGACAAAGATTCACTTATCAGCACCAAGTTCCTCCCCAAAATAAAATTGCTGAGCTAGACATTTGGTCAGGCGGGGCCAATGGGATTTTATTTGATCATTCCTTTCCTTCCTTTTGTGAGTCTATATTTTTATCCCCTTTGTGAGTCCCAAGGTAAACACAAACGCCAGGAAATGGTTTAATTCATGTAACTAAACTGTAAATCCTTCACATGTAATTTACTGTCTCCTTAACCAGCCATTTTCAACCAAGGACACTGGCATAAAAGTTCCTGTAGGAAATAGTAAACATCAGTGTAGTCATTTTTGGGCTAACAAATGCCAATCCCAAATGAAAACGGAAGCGCTTCGTTCCTTTGGATTTCTTCCTTCCCTTTGTCACTGTGGATCCCCCAAACACTTGAATTTTACTGCAGTTATTGGCCCTTAAAAGCCAATACCAATTTCAGCACCGGGCCCACTGCAGTTCTGTTCAAAGATGTCAGAACTTCAATGAGTGTTGTCCACCCCACCACAATTCAAAACTTCACTTGTATCACAGTTCTAGTGGCACTCTCAGCCTACTGTGTTTGCACATGAGCTCATGACTGTAGATACACACTCACAAACAATATTCTCTGGGCTTATTAATAGTATATTTCCTCTGCAGTTTGCTTCAAGGAAGGGCTAAAACTGAACTTGCCTGACATATTAGAATACAAACATTTTGTTTTGTTTTGTTTTGTTTTGTTTTGTTTTGTTTTGTTTTGTAGGACCACAGATACAGAAGAGGTCACGGTTCCATTAACATCACCAGTAAAACCACTTAACTACTTCCATAAGACATGTCTGTTTCTGTCACAGAATTAAAAATGACTTCCAAACACAGCCACCTCTGCAGAGTGGTTTCCTGAGACCACCTTGGCTGGATGTTGAAAGTGAGGAAGAGCTCGCTGTTCCAAAGACTGCCAGTGTACCGGCGGCGCAGACAGGCTGTCACCAGGGACTGGTGCCAGCACACAGCTAGGTGGAGGTCACGCTTCCCTCCCCTCTGAATTCTGAAGTGCTCAAAGCAGTGACACGAAACTGGCACAGAATATGAAGTGTTCTCACCCAGTGGGAGTATCGGGGCTGTCATCTTTCAGAACAACAAGTGGGCTTGGACACAGGGAAAGATCAAACAAGGACCCTCACTCAGAATGGCATTACATCTATTTGTTAATGCATTTTTTCCCTTTGGAAGCTGTAATCACTCTGACACATTAAAGCACACAGACACAGAGGACCCACTCCATTTCCCACTGGCGTCACCCAGGAGTTCTACTGGGTTTGCAGCAAGTGAATGACCTAGAGAATTCAGGGAGCTTTTCTGACATGAGGGGGTTCAAGAGTAAGTATCTTGGGACAGCCGAGTGGCGCGCTGGTAGGAGTTGGCTTGGGACGCCAGCTCTGAGCAGTAGGGCCCCGGTTCGGATCCCACATGAGGGCCAGTGACGCTGCACTCTCTATAGCTAAGATGGTGAACAACAGCTTAACTTGGAGCTGGGCTGCCGTGAGTCACAGGTGACGGCATAGGCTGCAGTGGGGCTGCAGTGGGCTGCCGAAAGCTACCATGAGTGGCTGGCAGCCGGTGTGAGTGGCCGGCAGCTGGCATGAGCTGCCAAGAGCTGCTGTGAGTGGCCGTCTAATGGCCGGCGAGCAACTGCCTCACCCAGGAAGAGCGCAATGATCACAAATACCAACATGGGCCAGTGAAGCGACATCCTCCACAACTAGACTGAAGAACAAAAGGACAGCAACTTGTCTGTTCCCCTAACCCGATTCCCCAACGCTGTTTCCTCCCCCAATTCCCCGATAAAATCTTTAAAAATAAATAAATAAATAATGAATAGTACTAGACAGAACACAGAAAGGTAGTAGAGGAGTTGAACAACACTAATAACCAATGAGACCTAACAGACATGTATAGAACACTCCAGTCATCACAGCAGGATGTACATTCTTCTCAAATGCACATGGAACATTCTCCAGGATAGACTATATGCTAGATCATAAAACAAACCCCGATAAATTTAAGAGGATAGAAATAATACAGCATTTTCTCTGACTACAGTGGAATGAGTAATCAATAACAGAAAGAAACTTGGGAAACTTACAAACATGCAGAAATTATAAACAACATACTCCTAAATAACTAATGAATCAAAGAAG